GCGCTGATTTCCTTGGAGATCCTCGTTGAACCAGGGGTTCAATATTAACCTCAGTCGGAACAGGTGGTGTCAGCAGCCTCCTAACCGTGCCATTCTTTACCATAACTTTGTTCTTCTTGCTATGAATATGGGGATGTCTTTCATCTTCATACTCATTGGCCCTTTAGTAGGTGACCTAAACAAACAATTATCAAATTGAAACCAATTTTCAGCAAGACGCTTTGGCACAAACTGCTGAATGGACAAAATATGTCTTTCCAATCATGTAAAATACTATGCTACAGATGAAACTAAAAATGAGAATCACATAGACATAAAACCAGAAACTGAGAATTATTTACAGCATATTAAATTTTCTGTAAAGTTACTGTCAAAAAAGATAAATATGGATATAAAATTCATAATACCTTCTTTTCCTTGTCTATCTGTCCCTCTTCCTCCATCTCTGTGTCCAAGTTTGATGTCTCCTCAGCTAGTCACTGGATTAGGTGGTAAAATATGTGCCGTAGATGTAGTTGATGCAGGTGTCTGATACATAGGCGTAAGCTTAGGCGTGGGCGCAGGATACAATTGTGTCATAGACTGCTGCCACATTGATTGTAGAATATTTTGCATCCAATTAGTGTTTGGAATTGGCATAGGCGCCTGCGCTTGCATCTGCTGCGCTGGATATGTTGGTACAGCGCTTAGCTGATCGTGCGCTGCTTGCGTAATATCGTACGCTGATAGCCCTGGGGGTGATGTCATTGTTGATGCGCTTGGGTAGTAGGCCTTGGCTGAGCTCGGCGCAGGCATATGAGGCGCAATGCTCAATGGTGTAGACTTGAGTCTGGCTTGGGTTGGCGCTACCCCCAACAACGCATCTTGAGGTGCTGGCGCACTGTCTGTAGACGTAACAGATGTAGAATTTTCAAAAGACTGCAAATTAGGTCCAATTATAATACGCCCAACATTCTCCGGGAGAGAGGATTCCGGCGGCAGTAAAGGCCGACCTATTATCCCTCAAAGATAAAGGTTGCGTCGTAATGATCGAATCCTGTCCCTCGCTCATTCGCGATAAAGACATTTTCCTTTTCTCACTACGTGATTGCTGCAAAATACGTTTGTGAGTAACCTGCCTATACCAGTCAGGGTGGTCTCTTTGGGATGTGGATTTTCAATTCTTACTACAGGGCCCGGTTTTTCGCGTGCATGGGCAAAGTCACTAAAGTCACTGAAGCGCGTGTAAAAGGACTTTGAATATCCTGTGTATTGGTGTCACTTCACCATTAGCGCTTGGGTGAATCCCGGCCTTCATTACCACCAGGAGACTCGTTGAGGTGGCCGCGGTCCGTGCGTTTAGCGGGTGAATGCGGAAACATGAGAACACGTGTGTGTACTTGAATGTGTGATTTGCACGTGTTGCATTTTCAGGAGTTTGTTTGAAGTTTAGTGGTTTATCTATTCATCATAGCACACACTGAATGGTCTATGATTCAAAATGACATTCAGTAGATGTTGAGAGTTCACATTACGTGTGTGGGCATTTCTTATAAAAAATTAGCAGCTGAATAGTTCATCCACGTCATGGAACAGTTCAGGCATATAACATTTTGATCGTTTATTTAAGGATGTTAGTAATAAAAGTATACGGAAGAAATCCGTAGGCCTGTTGTTTTGTTTCTTTGCTTTATGAAATATGTAGTCCCACCAAATATATATGTTCATTCTGTAGATGTTTTCATTAGTCCGACAGCTCCATTGTTAGTGAGCACGAACTGTGATAATTATGAGATACATCACCAGTCACAAATAGAGGCGTGTGTTTGTAGCAAGTTCAATTGCGCGTGTTGTGCCTACAATGTTGCAAAAGCTAAAATTTACACTATAGCAATTGCAAGGATAATAACATCAAGTATCAAAATAAGGAATTAAACATAATCTTATTTAATGACAAGACAGAGGGTTTACGTACGTGTCCGTTTCCGTCAGGTCGGAATTTGCTTTATGCAAATATTTTAACCCGGGCATAAATTCCATTGGTTGGTCAGTCGACACCAGCAGGATTCATGTTTTTGTTTTGTATATATTTGCTTCCACAGCATCACCCACTCCCACCCAGCCAAAACCCTCCCCCCTAGATATCATTTTAGGTTTTCTTAATTTACATTTTTTTGGGTCGCACTTCTTAATTATTCCTTACGCCTTTTTTTTCCCCCTATTTAGTTAAAGTGCTTCCCCGTGTGCGAGATACGCTAAATGTTATTTATTACATGCGGAAAGCGCACGTTAAATCCCCGAATATGAATGAATGAAACGAGTCTACGGATTTGGGATGTCCGTCTCATATTTATCTTCATCATAATGCATTTCTTAATGTCAGGTAAATCTTTACATTGGTACCATGATTTGAATCTTTTTCGTCCGAACTTGCATATGGTACTGCTGCTATCGCGATAACATGAGAAATGGGGACGCACCTTTTCGAATTTCTCTCGTGGCCGGCTTGAAGCGAAGCTATGCTTGGCCCATGAGTTAATCTAATTAGCCAACGCTTTCCCGCCAATAAACAGTGCTTGTTAAACAAGACAAGCAGCACTCGATTGTATTTTATGCACATGCGCAGTAGACATTTTCACCTTTTTTCTGCAAGTCCAGAAGGAGTTTGTCATCCAAACATATTCGTGACAACTCCGGACAGTGTGATTTCCGGACAGTCGAATTGTCAGGTTACGGAATGGGCGAGTGTTGACGAATGTCAATATATGAATACATGACGCCCCTAAAACTTGTTGACTGGCACAACAACGTGAATGACTGATTATTAATCCAATATGTCTCCGAGGAAACGCGAAAATCAGTTTTTTTTAACAAAAGTCCTCCGACAAAAATCATCTCCTGCGTAAAAATATAATCAAACACATATAAATACACATATAAATACTCGTCTTTCCGGCGAACCGTAGCGGATTGTCCTGTTTTCATTTAGAAATTTCAGCATCATATATGCCTTGATTATTTTTCATGACATATTTTATAAGTTTTAGGACATCATACGATTTCTATCAAGAATACCAGCACTTGCACACGTGTGGTGTGGCGTCACACCGAAATTGTAAATACTCAGAAGATGTCTTGTTATCTTTTTGCCTTGAGGTTGTTCATGTCATTAGCGAGAAAACTATGAATGTTTCTTCAGCGTCCGAAAACACATATTTGACTTTTGCCATTTTACATTTCTTGCTGTGAATGTTGTCCTAGCTGCACGAAATTGCTATAAAAAAATGCAATGAAATGTTCTGGGGGCATAATACATCCATGAATACAATATAATAAATGTGTGTAAAAATGGGACCATGTAAACTTAACGTTTAGCATGTTGTGATGGGCTTGATACATCAAAGGTTTCGTTTGGTTTGTTTTACCCCGCACTCAGCAATAATCCAGCTATATGATGGCGGTCTGTAAATAATCGAGTCTGGAGCAGACAATCCAGTGATTTACATCATGAACATCGATCCACGTAATTGGGAGTAAGTGAGTTGAGTGTGGTTTTACACCGTTTTAAGCACTAATTCAGCAATGTCACGGCAGGGGACACCAAAAAATGGGCTTCACACATTGTACCCATGTCGGGAATTGAACCCAGGTCTTCGGCGTGACGAGCGAACGCTTTAACCATTAGGCTACCCGACCGCTCCTCCGCGCAATTGGCATCGACAAGCATAGGTTGCTGAACAACTATTCTACAATGTAGACACAATTTTATGGATAGCAACTTCTTTAAAAAGCGATGTTTCGGTATAGATCCTTATACCATAGTCAAGCAAGACTGATTGGGGGACATGTATAGTACGTGGAGGATTAACAGTAGAAACAATTGCTTCAATGAGTGGGATAACACAGGTCGGTGTTGACATAAAGGGATAATACTGTCACAACACGATGGATAGAGAAGTGGAAGCCAATGAAGCCAATTAAACAGGATTAGTGATAATTCATAGTAGGTGGATTGGATGAAATAGCCTTGATCAGTGTTGATGCTTGTGGCGGCGAATGTGTTTCCTTTTAGTGAAATCATGGAAGTTGTTGGAGAGGATTTGGACGATGTCCCAGTTGTGTTTAGGACAGACGTATTCTACCCCGGATCTGTCATAACAGCTGGTTAACTTGGTTTTTCAAATTCACGTGAACAAAATGTTCTCTACACACTGTGCGCGCATGTTTACATGTATGTTTTATCGTTTCTACCATTAATTATTGGAAATATTGCACTGCGTTTTAATGACAATAATTGACTCTCGGCCTTCTTTATGACGAGGTGACTTATTTGTTGTATACCACCGAACAGCTGGGGGACTGCGGACTGTAAATACTCGAGTCTGAACCAGACAATCCAGTGACATCACTTTCACGGGGCTGGTGCACTGTCGTGGGAAAAATTGATATATAAAAAAACTGTGTATTTATTTTTTTGTTTTTTTAAATGTTACGAAAACGATGTTACACAGGTATGGAATGAATTACTATATAACGTTGTCCGGAACGGGAATAGACACGTTTTGTACTATTGAGCCGTTGCGTATATACACATAAGGACATGGGATTTTTTTCTACAGCAACTGTCAGTAACATGTTTAAGCCTGCCAATCACATCTAGTAGTGTTGCAAACAACCTTGATGTGAAGTATGAATGGTCGAGCATATTTCGACACAAGTCGGATGTTACAGCAACTTGAGAGGGGTGAAGTTTAAAAAGACGGAACCGGAAATGATACGTACCACGGGTATAGCGTGTAGGTTCCCCACAACACGCCGTGCCTTTGATCTCGATACACAATAGGGGCGGTCGGGTAGCCTAGTGGTTAAAGCGTTCGCTCGTCACGCCGAAGACCCGGGTTCGATTCCCGACATGGGTACAATGTGTGAAGCCCATTTCTGGTGTCCCCCGCCGTGATATTGCTGGAATATTGCTAAAAGCGGCGTAAAACCTCACTCACTCACTCACTCACTCACTCGATACACAATATATTTGCTAATTCCTGGTGTCAATTATCATACCACAGAAAGAAATGCGGGTTCTCTCATATATTTAGCTGTAATTAACATACCAATACCTTCTGAAATTCAGAATAATTCGGTAACAGGGATATTTTGCCTACGCGTGGTCAAATGGAATATGCCATTATCCCCGTTTGTCAATGGAATCAAGACAAGAGGCAATATATTTTAACGTGGACGGGTAAGTTATGGAGAAGTCACGTGCTGTATTGCGTGACAATCACAGTGGATAATAAAATATACAGAGTTTCCTGTGTATAACAAGTGTGTATGCCGATTGAGGAATTTGCATAATATATAATTTAGAAAATCACTGACATGTGGATAATTGTTTCACCCAAGATGGTGTGATTAAGAACGTGTTTTTGTATGAATTAGAATCCCCGCAACACGTACCAATAGTTTAAACATATTTTATTCAACTAAGATTGGGTTTTACAAGCACTAGCTAATGTAAATAGCGCTCCCTCCAACAAACGCCACACTCAGCAATATTCCAGCTATATGACGGCGCAATACGGGACACGATAACTTGCATCAACCAATTCCGTTCGTCGCTTTTTGCGTTATTTATTTACTCAATTTATATGTACAAAAACTCTAAAACTCCAAAAAGCATCGACTGCCCAGCTGAAGAATCCTTGGTGTCTCCAGTGTGGTGATAAATGTCGCTTATAAATATCTTCTTTATGTCTGCCACATCTGGATACCTGTATCCAGATGCATGTTGTTGGAGGTAAGACACGTCTAGAGTTGTCCCCGTTCCCGCTGTCAGCACCTTTAATTAAATTATATAAAACAAATAATAACAAATGTTTCTGAATTACGTTAGATATGCATAACATTAACATTTTCATTTTTCGCATACAATGTAAATAAATGAAATTTGAACCTTACCTCTGCAACAAACGGGATTGTCCGTCCTTTTTCCGTTGGCACCGCCAACCGCACGTATGACCCGGCACACAACGTTTCTCTGAAAAATACAAAAATCTTAGCATGGTTGCAAAATGTCATTTGTCTTGGCTTACACGGGGCTGTTGCAGCTTGCTAGTTTACCGTTTCTGTATATAAAGGGTTTTTTTACCTTGGAATACGTTGTTGTACGTTGGCAGTCAAGTTTTTAACAATCTTCTAAAGTACAACTTTATATACTCAGGATTATGCTATAAATGATACATACTTGCTTGACTTTGCGCGCGATTCAGTTCCGCTTTTCTTTTTTTGTGTCTCTTCTGACCTCGCACTGAAATGTAAATATATGTTATCAGTATATACAAGCCTTGCTGGACAACGGTATAAGGATCTATCCTGAAACGACGTAAACAGTAAACAAGGAATTGTTGTTACCCATAAGTTCGTCAAATTTTGTTTAGAGGTTCGGCCAAAACTTATAAAAATGTATATATAGTAGATCTGAAAAGATACTGAATAAACATGATAAATACTTTGATCTTTGACCATACCCGTGTGACGGAACATCCTTTTTTGATCGAGTGATTCTAGGCCTTGGGACAGTACTTGGAAAGGGACTGTGGGTGGGATTTTGCACGGGGCTTGGCACAGGGCTTGGCACAGGTCTTGGGAGCGGACTTGGAAGCGGACTAAAATGATGCTCAGGACTTGTTGGGACTCGTTCTGTATTAAAGATAAAAACGATTATTCGATTGTGTGTCTGCAGTTTCTGCCTCATCAAAGTTACCTCAGCAATAGTCCAGCTATAAGAAGATGGTCTGTCGACCACCCGATCCCTTATGGCGACCATGAGTCGCTGAAACATGGGTAAAAGTATTTACGTACCCAATTCATCATTCCTAGGGGACAGTGCAGGGGTTGGAGGCAGGTCATCTGAACTGCAAAATAGGAAGAGAACATAAGTACATATATATGTGCATATATATATATACAAAATGGTGTAATGATGCAATGAAAAACCAATATATCAACTACTCGACTTCTGACGCGGTATCTGACGTATCGGTGGAATCCGATACACATCTTACGGCCCGGCCACGGGCACGGGCACGTCCACGTCCAGGCGTGCCGCTCCAAACGTCTTCCACTTCATCTGGCAGGCTTAAGGGAGATACAAAACACATTTATTGTATATCAATTTCATGCATTTAAGAGCTGTCAAAAATTCAGGAGAGTAAAATGGTTCTAATGGACGTCGAAAGGGTTAAGACGTCTGACAATTGATCTTCCCATGAGGAGGAATGTAAATGCTGTCATAAAACGTTTAGCTGATTGAATACTTCCTAATTAACAGCTGAGTGGGGGGAACACTGAGAAATATTCTCGAGGAGAATTTTTGGTTGATTTTCTCGATCACATGTTACAAAAGTGAATGTAAAATATAATAACCTGTGGATGGTGGTTGTTGCAGTCCTTTCAACACGTATGGCCGCAATGTCATCCCTCGCCATATCGCTAACTTCCTGCAGATGAGGTAATTACATGTATTTGTTTTACCACGTACGTACATTGTGTCTGCGAGATGCAAACAATATATTACTACTAAACAGCACGTGCACGTTACTTAGGAATTTAACATGCGTTTTCCGACATATGCATATTTCGCGTGTATTTTAAATTCATTTGTTCTGTTGTTAGATTATCGTAACTGACCATCCTGATGGAACAGTATGATGTATAATACATGTCATGATTTACCAGTACAGCTGTATTTCATGTACTGCTATGCATGTTTACATAGTATGTCCTATGTTCCGTACTCACGGGAATGTTGAAAAAAATCACAGCAGGGTTCCTTTTTATAATTTTTTTGGGGGTGGGGGTCACACAATACATACGTATGTGAAGATACATACGTGCAAGTTCAGCAGATCACCAATTGCGTTGCTCGGCATACGGTCATCAGGCGCTTCTGTCACTGTTGTCATGTTTACTTGTATGTCACTTGAAGGCTTCAAGTGGTACAATCTTGCCTTCTTGTCAAATATGGGCAGACCCCCTTCGAACTTTTCCAAAAGATCGCCTGAAGAGTCATGTGATCAATAAAACCTTACATTCACAATCGATGGGTTACCGTATACATTAGAGATAGATGATGGATATATCACACAAATGTAAAAATTCCATAATAACCTTTATTTTGTCAAGATTTATGTTGTCACTACTTACATCAAATCTTCAATGTAACATCATTTACATTTGCGGTTTAAATCAAATGATACTCATTGTGGACTGACGCATGTATTATAAGCACGAGTACAGAGTCCGTACCGATAGTGACATCATTGTCTACGTTTACGTTCATATACTATTATTTGATATAACATGCACCTGTGTATTAAATAAATATAAAACGGTGCAAATTACCTGATCCACAATATTTATTCTTCTTATATGCAGATGGGTTCTGCACTGTTATAACGAGGAGAAAGTCGACAGGATCGAAGTCGGACGTGGTGTGTAGTTTGGTCAGTTGTCTTATATTGCTGGAAGTCATATGTCTCTTAGACTCTGCGGCGGATTTTTTGCACCTTGAGCGAATATCCGGGTTTCAATTTGGCATGAAGGGGGTTCCTTGAAGAAATAGTGACTCTTTAGGAGAGCGGCCAAACCACAAAACTTTTTCTTTAGATTCTTTCTCAATGTCATGGTAAACGTATAGTTACATAAAATAGCTTACAAATCATGTAAAACTTTTATCGATTATCATGTTATTTAATCTATTTTCATATTCTTTAGTATAGTATCAATGATCATTTTACTTACATGGTGAACTGGGAAAACTGCATGTTCGTTGGTGTTGGTTCTTGTCGGTGTTGAAAAACTGAAATAAATAGAGCACGAATATTGTGATGAGTTCAGGGAAAAGTCGCGGATATGGTCGATGAGTTGTACGAGCTGAGATTTTGGGTTTAGATGGGTTGGACGTATATATATATATATATATAAACATAAATGTTCCGTGTATACACACACTGACCATCTCTGAGGAGTTTAGTGAGACAAGTATCCGCGTAAGCGATTCACAGCTGATGTTGTTACCAGTGATCATTACTCGTCTTGATTGATAATTGCCCACCGTTGGACAATAAACAGGATGTCCGGGGGGGGGGGGGGAGAATGGCCTTTTTGGATACCCACCCCCGCCTCGAGGAGGCTTTTTTAGTGTAAGAGATCGGCATGCCGCCGCTTCATCGTCTTGGGCGTAAAAGCCCTGCATGTGGGGCATGCTTGATCATCATGTCCATTCTCCACCAAGCACTTTAGGCAAAAAGCATGTTGGTCTTGGGGCGGAATATTTAGCCCGCATCCCGTACAAAGTTTGAAGGTCTGTAAAAAAGACCGTAAATATTGAGTTGGGTTGGGCGGGAAAAGTGTATCAGTGCGATTAAAGATCGAAAAGATACGTGCTTTTAACAATTGTGAAAACAGAAGCAAAGGCGTAATCTGTAATGCGACTTGTAGCGCGATACTAATAGCCATTGTCTGTAGTACAATTTTTTTTAAATACACCAAGTAGGCGTGTTACGCGCTAAGGTGTAAAAAAACCTAAAAAAAGGTAGGTGTAGTTATAATCTAGTACATCACCTTGGGTTTTGTAAAGGAAAAACGTGCAGTTGAAATCTAATGATATAAGTTTTATAACAAAATTCAAAATATGAATTTGCAGTTACCAGTTGAAAATACCCTAATGTTTTGCATGATTTTTTAAACATTTTACCTCCCCAAAGTCAAGATTACTGTTAATTATTTTTCAAAAGTACATTAATACAAACATAATGAATGAATGTTACTATTTTGTCTTACTTCATGTAACTTATTACTTTAATGGCAACAAAAAGGGAAAAAAATGCAAAAAGGACAAATTGAATTTCTACATGGAGGTATGGGAATTGAATGTGGGCAAGAGGCCACCCTAACTGTATACCTCGCGAAACTCATTGGAGAGAGGTTTACACAAAAAACACATTTAGAATTTGGTGCACAAATTTGCGTTCACGCCAAACAACGTGGATGAGGATCTTTAATAGATTTTTTTCCACGACAATTAGTACAACTCGCAAACATAAGTTACGCAATAATATACTAGAAGAAAAAGGGACTGGAATTTACTGCCGTAAATAATAACTTATCAGCAAAATTTTGGAACGAGTTGAAAGTGTATAAATGATTGAATATACGCAACTCAATGAACCGCCAAAGCTAGTAGTATTGAAAACAACATATGAAATATGTTATACATATGGGTGCAGGCTAAAACCCATTGCAGATGAATTTACAATGGTAGACGAATTGGAAGGTCTAAATAAATCCAAAACCGAGAGCTCCGCTGGAAGCGTCCTAGCTGTGTCGCGACAGGCAGTGATGTGTGAAGAGTTGACCTTTGGTCACGTGAGGTCACAGGGACAGCGACGGCGTGGTGTAAAAGTGGGATTGTGGAACGGAGCCTTCTTGTGCTGATGGCATGGGTCGGCAGTTGCCGCATCTACACCATCTTGGACGATCCTCTAGCTCTGGTTGGCTTGGTGGATCATCACATGGTCTGTAGCCATGGGGGGGTGGGGGGGGCGGTCAGGTAGCCTAGTGGTTAAAGTGTTCGCTCGTCACGCCGAAGAACTGGGTTTGATTCCCGACATGGGTACAATGTGTGAAGCCCATTTCTGGTGTCCCCCGCCTTGATATTGCTTGAATATTGCTAAAAGCGGCATAAAACCATACTCACTCACTCACTCACTCACTGTATCCATGGAGATAATCCTCAAAAGGTCCCTGGTCTCGGATCAGCAGCTCAGTCACTATTGTCTGGAGCTCTGTCATGTTCAAAGTTGCTGCAAAATCCTGGAAGATAATATAGTTAATTGGAGACAAGATACAACAAATCCAAAAATTAGTTTAAATATCTTTCACACCAGAAACTAATTTACCTTAGTTAACATACAATAAGCTTGTTAGGTATAAACTGTACATGATTGTAATAAGGTACCTTGAATAATAAGGTAACGGCTTGATAATGTCACCATAGGTGGACCATCTGGTGCACGGACAGTCTGATGCGGAGTGGGCTACCTTGCTTGTACAATTTGTCTTCTCCGCGTCCTCTGCACCAATGGTTCCTCGTCTTCACTGTCAAGCAACACGTCAGTCTGTGAAAGAAATGTACAATTAATTACTTAGATATCATATCATTTTGCAGTAAAGGAGGTGACATTTTGTTCAGTTCCTTCACTATTGTTCACATGGTTGAGATAAAAAAACAACTGTAAATAAAAATTACCAATTAGCAGTGATGAAATGCATTTTCCTAATTATTGCCTCCAGCCGACCCTTGCAGCAGTTGCACCCTGCTTCTTTCTCTTCTGGGTAGAAATGGAGGAGTTGTGCAGAAGAGGGGTGTGACTGGTGTTAACATCTACTTCCTTGAGTTCTTTCAGTGCTATTCACATTATCTCTGCAGATATGGTTGATAAGCACCTACAGAGCAAACTGCATTCCTGCTATTTGAGTGCACTCGGGGCATGCCTGTGTGGTGTGGACATACAGTGCAATATAAATGGCCTTAATTTTTATTTTTGACAAAGCTTGTGTTGTGTTGGGTTGGGTTGTATTTACATCATGGGCATCTTCTTCCTGTTGATCGGCTATTGCACCCATGTCAGGTTGGCTTTGAATCATAGACTCAGTCGCCAGAGGGGCATCACCTGATTTAAAAAAATATATAATTGACATCTTGAACACCTTTTACATCACTTGAGTGAAACTTCAACACACAGAAAAAGAAAGTACTGATGCTCACCATAGTTAATGATATACATTATTAGTACTGCCTAAAATGAAAGGTCTTTCACGAAGTCAAACCTAGTAGCTTTTGTTAGAATCAAAATGGCTTCTTCAAAATCATCATATACAATGTGCATTGTCTTTCATCACTTGTAAGTTCAGTGATCTTATTCAAAACCAGGTAAATTAATCATCCTTATTATTTACACCTTAGACTAGTTAAATGTTATCCTGCTACTAAGAAATGATAAACACTAGTCCGCTGGCTACAAAACGTCTATGAAGTCAATGACTCATGTAAGCTATTCATATTCACCTTGATCAATGTGAAGGTGTTTCCCAACTTTAATAACTTCTTGAATTGGTAGAGGATACTGGTAGACACCTTCATTGACACCCTTGCTGTGACCCATATGTTTGTAGAAATATTCTCTCTCAGTGGTAGGAACTTCAAGTGAAGCATATATGGTACTTATTCTGTGTCTTTGTTTTGATGCTATCAACAACTCTGGATGCTTCACACCAGCTGCACCACACATACTCCTAATAGCATGCCAACCTAGCACATGATATGCTGACTGCTGTGTGTTTGGAAAAACATAACAATTTTCATCAAGAATCCCAACTTCCTTCCTCTTGTCTTTGTGTCGGTGCCTTGTCCATTCTTACAGTCTCTTGGGATCAGGGCTCACTTGCACAAAGCGATCTTAGCGCTAAGATGATCGTAACTCCCATACTTTAGCATAGGCTTACAATAGTCTTAGCGCTAAGATCGTTTTGTGCAAGTGGTCCCAGGACTGGAACTAAATGGTTCCCTTTCCCAGCTTGGCATGCAACCATTATTTCACTGAAGAGCTTTTTCTCCCTGGTCTCTAACTGTTCCATCCTAGAGTCATCGATCCATCTCTTGGCAACTGCATCATCCAAATTTGTAACTTTTAGTCGTGATGGCTCACCACCCCGTCGTGCATTAAACAGAGTAATCCTGCAGCACACAGCATCTCGGAGAGTAACATATTCATTGCGCCCAATGAATTCCTACTCTGACATCAATCTCTCAATTGTATTCAGAGTATGAACCCTCAAGGTGGTGACTTCCTCTTCTCTTGCTTGCTGGCATTCTAAGTCTTCCCTGTCTACTTCTATTGATTGAATAAGCTGCATCTCCAAATAAAATGTTTTGATTTAAATCTAGCAAATGAATATTTTTTTCTATTTCACTTGCTTTGGCATCTTCTTCGTCTCCAAATGAACCCAGCATGAGAAGATTGGCTGATTGGCTTAAAAAATTCATTATTCTATCTCCTAAGCCATACTTGAGCCTCCCTTCAGTGGTGGTCACCTCCTCAACTGCTTGCTCCAAAATGTTAATGTTTCCATGATGAAACATGTCTTCCCCTGTCATGCCATGATGTGACTTGCCTCGGAATGCGATGAGTAATTTCGACAAAAGTCGCATATCATTCATTACCTATTTTCTAGTTTCCATTGTCAGGATGAAAATGAAGAAATACTTCTTTAGAAAATACATCTTGCTCCTTTGTTGTACTCTCCTTCAAATGCAGCATTTCAACTGGCATGGAACTGGGGCAAATGTGCTGTCCTTCATGCATAAGTCCTTGTGTCTATGGTAGAGACGCCGACTATAGAATCCCTTACACAAGGAGCAGTAGACAAGATCTTTCTGTCCTTTTCTCTCAGCCTCAAATTCTGGTTTATCTTCTCCTTACTGCTTTTTGTTAAATTCATAAATCCCACGCTTTCTGAAATTCTCAAATATTGTATTTCTTTCTTTTGAGTTTTGGGGAAATTTCATAGCCTCTGAAACTTCAGGAATGTCCTGATGCTGTTGGGATATGTGTCTTGATAATTGCATTTGACCAATTTTGCAGAATGTGCATCTGCGTTCTGGCTTCCTGTATTTATCTGTGAAAGAAAGAATATAATGTAAAATAATAAAGTATAAGACCTACAAGTTTTCGCCAACCTGCCATATAATGTTACTTTTACTATAAGTATACGTATATACTATAAGTAACACAACTTCAGACCGAGTATTAAGTGGCACATATATACTCTGTAAAAAAAAAAGATACGCAATACGGATATTTTTGGCAATAAAAGCAAAATAAGCCGACCAAGAGGTGCAAAATGAAGAGGTTTAATGTGTTAGTGTCAGTGACAGATCATTATATTTATCACATAATGGGTGGGTTTCTCGGCAGGATAAAGCCAACGGTTAAAAACGATATCCGTTGGGGCCATATGCGGATAGAGATGCAAATATCAAAGGTCAAGTAGGGACTATTTTCAGTGTTTACAAACAAACATGGCGTCGCCCTTGGCAATCGGCGATCGAGTCAGAATTGACAATCGCGGATGTGGAGTCATTACTGGAATAATAGATCGAAGTTCAATTGAGAAGTCCTTCTTTGTTCTTATCGATGGGACAGATTACGAAGGACGACTAGAACGACATCGTTTAAGTAAGATTCCATGTCCAGTCCCATGTCCGATAATGCCGATATCCGAGCAGACGAATACAAGGTTTCGTTTAGTTGAGATTGAGGATAGCGATGAAATCATTGACAAACGAAAACAAAAACAAAAACACCGCAAAAAAGACTTTGTTCACCATGAACCTTGTGGGTGAATTTCTTTCCTCTCAAAATGAACATGGGCCTATTGAGACCATCTCCCCATGTGAACTTTCACCTTACATATGCAAGTTTCTCGTTGGCATAACAAAGTAAGACGGCTCTGACCCCGAACCTTTAACCCTTCGGTCATACATATCAAGCATTGACAGATATTTGAAGCAAAAAGAATATGGGTGTACACTTTCCCACTCCCCAGAGTTTGGCAAAGTACGGGAAGTTCTGAAATCCCGACAAATAGCTCTCAAAAAGAAAGGGAAAGGCAACTAACCAAACAGATCTGTTATCCGACGAAGAAAATCATAGCCCCCAGTCCCCACTTCCCCCGTCTCAATATCAAGCGGTCGGTTCCTTAGACGCATGAGAAATATTTGAATCCATATTCGACTTGTTACCTCAAGTGACATTTGCTCGTGGGTTGAAGACAAGTGGTAAAGACGTATAACGTCAGGTTTATCTCTTGCAGGAAGTTCATGCTGTAAGGTAATTTCAATCGCACACCTCAGCCATATAAACAAATTGAAACAGCTGAGAATACAGTAATTTTATTTTATTTCCGGATCGTCGCCTCTTTACAGAGTCGTCCCCTCGTTGCCTTCGGGCCGAGCCTCGTTGCCTTCTGCCACCCTCACCATCATCCCTCGGCTGACCCTCATCCCCTGGCAGACCCTCTCCCTCGCCCCCCGGCAGACACTCGCCCCGCCTGCAGCCCCTGGCAGACCTTCAACACTGAAATTGATATTGCCTCAGAGTTGTCCCCTCGTCGCCTCCGGGCACCCTCACTGTCATCCCTCGGCAGACACTCGCCCACATCCCTTGGCAGACTCTCACCCCCCGGCAGACCCTCGCCCACAGCCCCCGGCAGACCTTCGCCCTCGCCCTCGCCCTCGCCCTCGCCTGCAGCCCCTGGCAGACCTTCAACACTGAAATTGATATTGCCTCAGAGTTGTCCCCTTGTCACCTCCTGGCACCCTCACCGTCATCCCTCGGCAGACCCTCACCCCCCGGCAGAACCTCGTCCTCGCCCTCAGCCCCCGACAGACCCTCGCCCTCGCCCTCGCCCTCGCCTGCAGCCCCCGGCAGACCCTCGCCCTCGCCCTCGCCTGCAGCCCCCGGCAGACCCTCGCCCTCGCCCTCGCCCTCGCCCTCGCCTGCAGCCCCCGGCAGACCCTCGCCCTCGCCCTTGCCCTCGCCTGCAGCCCCCGGCAGACCTTCAACACTGAAATTAATATTGCCTCACTATAACATCCTGTTACTAGTTGTGAATGACATTTCAATTTGATAAGCTTGATGTAGGATTAGGATTTTTACATGTAGAATGATACGCATTCAGAAATGTTGAAATATGATTGTAACAGTTGGGATTATTATTTAGGCTATTGCACAAAATTTAGATATTTGTTTCATCTTTCTTGTTACTTGCAATATTTCATAAAAATCATTCGAAATGCAAATATTATACTTACTTTGAAATTATTCTGCCCCCCCCTAACTTCCAGATGGAAGATCCCATCTGGTATCTGTTTACTGGGAAATGCCTTGCCGATGAGTTCGGCACTGCCCAGGTAGGTCTTCCCGTCCATTAATACCATTGCGTTGTGTCTGTAATCAGATGGTGTCATAATTCGATAAATGTTTTTGGTTTTGTAAATATGAATGAACAAGTAAAGTATTTGTAATACTTTGGAAAAGATGAGTTTTATCTCTACCTTTTTTCCAAATTTATCCAGATACCTCATTTATTAAAGTGACACCGGTTCAGAATATGTGAAAGTTGTTTTATGTAAGAGACTCTTTTGTAGTGTTTTCATGAGATGGATTGTTGTCATATCTGTTGAATTTAGGTCTTTAATACCCCTAAACTGGGCAATGACCACGTGGTTTAGTAGTATGAAAAACCCCGGGGGAGTTGCAAGCTGCCTTGCACTCCTCCACAGTTTCAACTGTATTTGATGATGATGATGATCATCATCATCAGCCTGGCCAAGGATGACCGTTTTCAGCGTTGTGGTTGACTCCCTTGCAGGAATTAACTTCAAAGGAATAAAATCTTAGATTCATATGCAATCTTTCAGAAACATGATCAAAGCCGTAGTGTTATTTTCTTTACTTTTGTGGGGGTAATTGATTTGTTGACGATGGGGGTATGTTTGCTTCTAGGAATAGCAATTGTACGTTAGGATACATGAGCAAGAAATATGTTAATTATTTTGTAATCGGACAGACCTGGATGACTCTTGCTCTTGTGGTGACCCGAGAGCCAACTGGCTCGGACTTGCATTCCGATATAGTAATGATGGGTGGTTCGAGAAAGTTGGTAACCACCTTAACATCATAATTAAATTTTCGGTTTGATAAAATCTGCAATTATGAATGTATAATTATATTATATGTAATATATATATATATACATACACACGAGTGAAAACATCGGACACCAATGTACGACAGATAGGATTTTAGAGGATGCCAAGTATTGCACCATCCTATTGTATATAAACTTTCATCCTGTAAAACCCCGTCTTGTTGTATAAGGACTGAGGGCAAACATAAGATGCAATAATGTATGTTTGATATCCTGGGGTATTTAGTCCAGCTTCAATGTCTTTGAATTCAATAGTATCATCATGATGTGTCCTCTAGATGTAAGAATTTCTACTCTCACCCAATATCTTTTCTAAATCAGTATGTTTTGGATTAAATCAGGAAATTGTGAATTCAAAAGAAAAGTGGGAACAAATCTATTTTTTACTGGAATTTGTGATGCGAGTTGATGGCATCAGCGGTCATATGACGTTTTGTTTTCTGTTATGTATATTTGAAATGACATCTGTATTCAACACGAGAAAAGACTTCCTGATGACATGTACGGGTACAAAAATGGCGACATGCCAGGTTGTGTATTACAATATTTCACTTCAATCGATAACCACCAGTGATAATTATGATGCCAATAAGTGCATTATCTGGTGCACATCGCCCTTTATACAGACTGTCGTCATGTTTCAGCAATATTCTATGAAACTAAGAAACGTTTAAGATATGAATTGTTATGAGATATAGAATCAGTTGCGTGCATTTTTGTAAAGAAACAAATACTGCTACGAGATCTTAGCACATTACATGACAATTGACCCGACACACCTGTGTTTCCTAAATGCCGTATCTCACCATGTATTTGACGATGCTAGGTAGAGGTTGACACAGACACAGACACAGACACAGACACAGAAACTAGGTCAACTCTTGCAGTCGGTACGTAAATGACATGCCATGGACAGTTGAGTCCGTATGGAAAGATTTATCATTGGACATGTTAGCATTGTCTTCCAAGGTACAATTACAAAGCTCATTTGTCTAATCTTGCTAAAGGGAAGGTGCTAATTGCTATGGCAAGCATGGAGCGCTGAGCGAGAGTGTCCAGCTGCTGCAAGGTAGCCTGCGTTAACGTAGCAGCTGGTGGGGCACAGACACCCAACCGCTCAACATGGGCCTCCGCGGTAGGACCTGCCTCGGGAAAGGCAAGGTCATGAACCGGGAGTGAACCCTTTCTCTATGACGGGGGAGGCAACGGGAGACCCCGACTGGAGGCCGCCGCGAAGGCTTTCTCCAAGGAAGGCTTGATCCCACGCAACAAGGTTGATGCGGGGAAAGCCTTGTCCGAAGACTCCTCGAATACCTCGGCGGAACCCACAGAGCCCCGCGGTACTGGCAGGGGCTTAGGCATGTCATCAAAGAGGTCATATACCATAGCCACGCGGTCCTTAACCAAAAGCGGGAGCAACAGTTCGGGGGAAGGACCGGTGACCACGGAAGCCACCGCCGTACCGGTAGAGGCCGGGGACGGAACAGCCAGCGGCCTATCCCGAGATAAGGTTGACAGCTTGGAGTCCACAAGTTGAGAAAGTAATGCTGTGACAGAATCCCCGAACACGTGTCATTATTTGATAGTGATTCATAAATACATTACATGTTCAGGATAGTCGGAATCTTACAATGGACTGATTTTGGCAGATATTTGCCATGAATATGGAAAGGCTTTGTCGCTATACCAATTTATGTGTAGCTTTGTATATTGTGTGTGATAGAAGTTTAATGACAATTGATAATCTTCCTTTAACATTGTCACAAACATAATTTCCTTACTTGCGTCTTCCTTGAAAACCGTACCGTTCCGTCATCGGCAATAGTGGCATCTGTTGCCATGTGAAAAGTTCGGGAGTTCGGGAAGTTGGGGAAGCCGGCCGACATTTGGACTCTGGAAATCCGTCCAGGTGCTTCCCTGACGACAACATCTGCTTCCTTATAGCTACCGAATCGTCCATGTTTCCTCCTCTGAGATGTGAAGTATGTCTATATAATCAATATGTTTCAATTAATGTCAATTAATCGTTTTAAAAGATAATTGCAACTGCTTTTGTCCATACTAATTTGTAATTAGTTTTGTGCATTGTTGCGTCCAGGTAAAAACTAAGCGAAAGTTACTTCATGTTCTGAAATAATGAAGGAATCATGTGAATATGTCGATTCTACTTCCATAAGGAACAGATTCAAGTCATTTCTCCGACTGAAGGCAGGTTATGGTCGATGTATAATGTCTAACTTTTCAAGACATGTGTCAGTTGTACTTATTCAAATCAGGTTCAGAATAAATTGAACCAGGAATTCACTGACCAAACTGCCAGAATGGTTTTATGAAAAGATCGTCTTCAGTGGAATAATGTCCAAGTGTAGGCATGAAATGTAGGGTTTTCTCGTTATGCTATCAGTGAAACAAGTCAACTGTATAAAGAATGTAACATAATTGGAAGTGTAATTTGAATTTTGAAGTTCCAGTTGTGATTTGTCGTCTTGGTGTCTAATATATATTTTGTATATACAACAAAGAAATATGAATAGAAGGACAGTAAATACACTTATTATACGTATGTCAAAATTGTGTATTGATTTACATATCAAATTCGTCAATACAATATTAATAGAAAGGTAGAGTAATGGTAAGGGTAATTAATTTCAGGAAAATAGAATAGTACATCTGCATAGTATTGAATATAGATCTTTGTTGGAATGTGGGTTTTAAGATAATGGGTAGAAGGAGAAGCTTACATTTAAGAAACGTACAACATCTCAGAGATACAGATACTCTCACCTTTATACCTGTATATTTATTTATATTTATATTCTGTAAGCACACTTGTTTTAGGAGTTTCATTAGCTATTTATTTTATCCTTTTGAATCCAGTTGGGCTACATAATTCAACAACAGACATGTTACAGTTAGTATGAGTCAAAACAGTGTCTGCATAATGTGTTTATTCCACCCAAGTTTGTCATTCTTCAAAGTTCAATTTCTTCCAAAATATATTAAAATTTCATAGGCGTCGGCAACAATATTGTCAATTAATGTCTATATTCAGAGAATATGGCAATATGTAGTAACTGGGTTTGAAGATGTTTGAGATTTTTACGAATTTGATTTTTTTTTTGTCATGAGAGTCGTGACCAGTTTTCTAACTGCCAGGGGACGTAATTACATTTACGCTTCATGTTGAAACTCGCATGAATTTGGTGACACATGATTTACTGTAACAAACTGGGTGATATCACATTCGTTTTCGTGTCCTCTTTGAACCATCATGCAAACATAATTTGACTGTTCGGATTCCAGGTTCGGAAAAACATACCTTCTGAGGCATCTTCTGAGGTGTTGTTTCCATAGTACATGGAGGATACTGATGCTATTAGATCGTGTCCAATGTAATTTTAACACATGCACCCATTCAAATGTCTTTCTGAAATTCAAACAGAAGGAATTGATAATATGTAATTATAATCACAATTTGAATCTGTTAACTGGACTTTAATCAACAAATTACACCTCACCAACTGTAACAAATTACACCTCACATTTACTTCTTTGTCTTCTGCTGTAACTTAAATTATGTCCGACATGGGTGATTCACTACCTGTGAATGAAAAAACTTACAAATCAAAATCACTTCATTCATGATTGCTAATTGAGTATCAGCAATGTTTTTCATGAATAGTATAAGCAAACGAAGCTACAACTATGTTAGTCTTCATAGGGACAAGATTACTTCTTGATCCCCTGTTTCTCTTACACATCGTTAATAATATTTCCAAAAGTTGAACAAATAATTGGTACTAAAATATATTCTAATTTACAAACTTATGGTAGCATGAAGTCCAAGATCAGACACTTCTAAGATTAGCCTCCAAGACAGGAACTCAATATAGAATATCCTGCCACTGATTCACATCAATCACTTCATTAGTTACACGGTAATGTAGACAGCAATATGAAGAACACTTAACATGTATAGTGTGATTACTATCAGGGACTTCCGATAGTTCATGGGTGCAGCTTCCTCAGTCAAGTCATTGGGGTATTATTGATTAATCTATTGAGTTTCTCTGTGTACACATTCACCATGGCTTCATCATGCAATTGATCAATTGCTTGAGATATGAGTTTGTTAATTGTAGTTATGGACTGGTTGTAAACATCATTGTAAAGTTCTCTTTCAAACTGATTCACATAAACTGGATGACCTTTTGTAATTCCTGCCCC